GAGAATGCTAATAATCTCTTGCTCTAATTGTATCAGATTATGCCTTGACGCATGTGGATGAGGTTATTGATGAACTTCTGACAAAAGATTACTCATGTGACATTGCGATGCCACGAATTAAGAAAAGGTGGTTATTTATTGGAATAAAAATTTCCTAGCTGATTTTATCATGGTGGCTTCTTTGGTTTTTTTTTGTTTTTGTTTTTACTATAGACATAGTTGAATATCCTCAACCTTCTTTACGTTTGGAATGCATCTTGGCCTGTTTTTGTATTTGGCCCCTTGTATCTCTCCCCTGTTCTAGGTTTCCATGAGGGTCCATTTTTACTTCTACAATTTTAGGTTTGTGTATGTAATTTCTTGCTATATTCGAAAAGGTGGTTATTTATTGGAATAAAAATTTCCTAGCTGATTTTATCATGGTGGCTTCTTTGGTTTTTTTTTGTTTTTGTTTTTACTATAGACATAGTTGAATATCCTCAACCTTCTTTACGTTTGGAATGCATCTTGGCCTGTTTTTGTATTTGGCCCCTTGTATCTCTCCCCTGTTCTAGGTTTCCATGAGGGTCCATTTTTTACTTCTTCAATTTTAGGTTTGTGTATGTAATTTCTTGCCATATTAATACAGATGGACTCTGGAAGCAACTGGTTCATTGGAACTGAGAAAAAGTGCTTTGGAGGAGGACTTTGAGGAGGAGGAAGAGAAAGAGGAGAACGATCAACTTGATGGAATGGATGATGAAATCCATGATAGGGATTATTATCGTGGCCGAAGCCCTGTAAGGGAAAGGGACAGGGATAGAAGACGTGACAGTCACAGATACAGGTTCGTTTCTCTGTTTGTGGCAAATGATTTGTTTTTTAGACATGGAAGTAATGTTTATGTTGATCACTGATAGATGTTTCTTTCTAATATTTATCTATATATTTAACATAGTAAGGTACATACAGACTCCTTGAATCGTGATGATTGACTGGGAATGAACAATTTTCGTTTATACAAATTTTTTATGTTTGCCATATATTAATTCTAACACAACTGGATTGTGTGTGTGTGGGTGCGTGTTGGTCGGTTGGGATGAAGGCTTGGTTAATAGCTCTGGGAATTAGATTGGTTGGGTTCTTATTCTTTGTGCTATTGTGTGTGAGTGGAGATATTTTGGATCTTCAGGTGATATCTGAATTAAACTGAATGTTACCATTTTGTTGATAACCGAGCTGAGAGCACGGAGTAATAGAATGAGAGCCAAAAGAAAAGAAAATAAAGCAAGTCTAAACTGATTTTTTTCCCTTTTATAAATGAGTGTCTGGGTAAACATAAAATCCATTTAAGTTATCTCAACTGATTTTCATTTGGGTTCTGCCTGTCTTTGGATGAACCAGTCTTGTAGCTGTTGTGGGAAATTTATTAGACTTTTACGTCATAAAAATAATGACTTTTAAAGTGGAAGCTGTTGTCTGACTATTCAAATTCAGACTAGTACATTCATATGTCATTGAAGTTTCTACCATGGCATTTTAAGCCATAGGTGTTATATAATGGCTTCCTATAGTGATATCCCTGATCCTGCCAGGTTTCTCTGTACTGACAGTGTGCAGTGAGAAGTATGATGGATCGTACATTTTTCCTGCAGTGTAAATATGGTTCCCTGGTCGGTTGTGTCTTTTCTTATTTGGCATTTGGAGTAAATCCCGCTAAGTTGGTTAATTGAATGTCATTGGTTCTTTTTCTGGGAAGCCTTGTGGTTATTTTCATTTGTAAATGTTGAATTCTACCATATAGTTACTGTTTGTTGTTAAAAAAAGGATTGAATTTGAAACTGTCATCTTGAAGCTAACACTGCCATTTATGTTTCCTTATTTACTCCCATAAAACAGGGACCACGATTATGACAGAGACTATGATAGGGATAGAGACTATGACAGGGAACGCGGACATGGACGAGAAAGAGATAGGAATAGAGACAGAGATAGGGATTGGGACCGTTATCGACTAAGAGATGAAAAGGATCTTGGTCGTGATAGGGGGCGGGATAGGCGAGAGAGGGATCGTGGCAGGAGGAGGAGCTATTCAAGGAGCAGAAGTCGGAGTAGGGATCGTGAGGATGGGGATAATCGCAAAAGACATGGCCGCAGCAGCATGAGTCCCAGGAGACGGGATGGGCATGATGAGCATGGCACTCGTGAGGAGTCAAAGAAGAAGAAAGAAAAGAAGGAGAAGAAGACTGATGGGACAGACCATCCAGATCCAGAGATTGCTGAAGCGAACAGGCTCCGTGCATCTCTTGGATTGAAACCTCTGAAGATGTGATATTGTTGGTTGACTAGTTCATGTTAATGTGAATGTATTTCATCTGTCTTTGGATTTGTGAACCTTTTACAGCTAGTGCTTTCAGTATCTCCTGTACATCCATTAAGTGGCACTCGAGTTCATGTAAAGATCATTTTTACTGACTGTTCAGGCAGTCATTTTTCAGGATAAACTGTAACTCTTGGTTTTGTGCATGGTACTATGGACCAAAACAAATGCCGTACATTTGTGAAAGCGTTAAAAACAGTATTTAATATAAAAAGGACTAAATACTTTTAGAACAAGAAACATGCTAAATCTTTCCATCTAACAAGAACACGAGGAAATTGAAAAGAAAACAGAATCATGAAAGGAACAAATACCCATATCATGGTATGATCTCAGTTATCAAAATGCCATTTTCATCATACTGAAGGGTGCCAGATAAATTCACTGGCCTGCACTTGCCTCCCATTAGAATCCTCTTCTTGCATAACTCCTGGGCACCTCATTCTTCCATAGCTTTGCTATCTTCTTGCTTTGAATTGTCTTCCCCATCGATCTCCCTACTTACCATCTTTGTTAGGGACTTTGCCATTCTCGACTTCAGCAATTAGTCGGCATGAATTTTGATGGAACCAAATTCAAGTTACCTGAACTTTCTTGCTCCCCAGTCACCCTGAAAGTACCATGAGCAACACCAATATCAACTCGTTTAGCATTTTCACCTTTTTTTTGGGGGGGGGGGGGTTAAAAAGGGAGGGTCAAACCCCAAACCAACAAAAAACTTAGCCAGAGGCTAAACTAACCCAACGAGTTCTAGGAACTCCTAATAAGTCATCAACTAATAAAGAACCAAGCCAGCTTGGGGCAGCATCAAGCACACACAGCCCAAGATCAAGATTATGGCTCCACTTAGCCAAACAATCCGCCACAGCATTCCTTTCCCTGTAGATGTGGCTCACAGAACAAACACCAATTTGTCTCACCATCGCACAACAACTAGCAATCAAGGAAGCTAGAGGATGGGAGCCAAGCCTAGAATGCTGCTGAACTGGGAGTACAGCCGTAGCAGCATCCAAGCATTTTCACCTTTGATATAACAAAAAGGTACACATAGGTTAGTATCATCATCATTGGCTCTGTTGTTGAACTTGGTTTTGCTCATGGTACACTAATACACTATATATATCATCAACATAAATGAAAACGGGAACACTAATATATTTTCACACACTCTCTCTCTCTCTCTCTCACACACAAAAGAGTTAAGACTGGGTGATTACATTAGTAATTATATATTTATACACACACACACACAAAAGAGTAAGACTGGTTGATTATGTTAGTAATTAACTATGTGATGAAGCCTTTGACCAAATATTCTACAGACCAATTCTTTAACTCTGTGTAATTAGATACATTAAAGCTATAACGCTTCAACAAGTATATATAGATTATGCAATCCTGGTAAAAGCAAAGACTTGACTGCTAAGTTTAACCTTTTTGGTATATTTTCTACTATATATTTCTGTGCATTTCGCATGTAGGTCTTGCTATTAATTGTTTGGATTTGGACTTTGGAGTTAGCTTGCCGTTGCTTTCGTTACTACTGTCCTACCACTTATATACTTTGGTACTCATCTGGTTTTAATGCACTAACCCAGTTCTATTATCTAGATATCTCCTCATAAAATCGTGAGTGTCTGCATTTAAAAGTGGTGCATTTCTCTGCCTTTATAATTTGTTATGATCTTTTGTATGGTTTGGATGTGTCGAAATGCACCAATTCTAAATGTAAAGACTCGAACCCTATATCAATGTCATTACCACTTCTTCATTCATTTATTTGTTTAATCCCAACTTCCATATGTTCAACGCCATCTAGTCTCCACCATTCTTCTTTCCTTGTTCTTGCTTGTTGCCAATCTGACCAAGAACCTACTAAGAGAAAGTAGTTATTTAATTTCCAATATTTTTATTAGCATAATGTCTAAACTTATAAAAATCAAACTTTAGCCTAAAAGCTCAAAATAACATAAATTAATGTACTAACAAATATATATTTAGGGATAGAAATTGTAATAATTATGTGCTTATCATATACTATGTATTTTTACCTGATGTTTACAATTACTAACTATATTTCATTGCAGATGGGGATATTAAAGTTAACTATGATCTCCTGATATGATTCAAAGAGTCATGCCTTCTTTGGATGATTTGCAAAGTTTGTATACAGGATATCTTCAAAAGTTTAGAAAAGATATAAACACATAAATGATTGAAATAGATGGTCCCAAGACTCCATTACAAGACAAAGGAATTGAAGCTACAACAATAATTGACGTTGTGTGTACAAGTACAAAATTATAGCTTGAACAATAATGAACTAATCCAGCCACAACTACATTCAAAGTTCAATTTCCACAAGCATCGACTATTACTTCACAGAACCATTATTGATATTGGGTGAAATATTTTCTGCATCCTTGCACAAAGAGGACCTGCATAAGAAATAAGAAATTATATATTTAAGATAAAACAACGATTCCTTGTGGGCTTCCCATCTCTAAAGTTTCATCTATTAAAGCAAAAAATAACAAAAATATTGGTCAATGGGACATTGGTAAACAATAGCAAAGAATACTGTACCAGAAAACAAAATAGAATAACTTAGCCAAAACCATACAAAAACAAAGACCAATTAGTAGCCAAATCCATATAACCCATACATCAGTGCTGTCTGTTTTTCCGATTCCAACCTTCGTGATTTCCAACGAAACCCAAATATTTTTAGTAAACAATCCCATACCATAAGAAAATCAGAAAACTTTGTATAAGCAAAATGAAAAATATCCATATATCATAAAGAAAAAAAAATAAAAATAAAAATAAAAATATTCTAACCTGGAGGAGCAGCAGTGATATTGCCAGGGATGAGAGCACACTGTAGTGAAGGTGTTGAAAAAAAGAAATAAAAATATTCTAACCTGGAGGAGCAGCTGTGATATTGCCAGGGATGAGAGCACACTGTAGTGAAGGTGTTGAAAATAAGAAATAAAAATATTCTAACCTGGAGGAGCAGCTGTGATATTGCCAGGGATGATAGCACATGGAAGAGAAGGTGTTGTGGTGGAAGAAAGAAACAGAGGTTAGTAGATTGGAGGAGTAAGCGCGGGAAATTTTGGCTCTTACCAAAAGATTGAAAAGCTCTAATAGAAATAGAAGTTCTCAATGATGTTTAAAATCTACAACGTACAAGGAATCTAACGGTGACAAATAGAAGTCCGCATCCACTCCGCACACTTGCACTTCGCAATGGAGAAAGTCCCCTGTGTTAGATATTGAATTATTGTTGATGACATAGGAAAGATATTGCTTCACGCAAACCAGAAATTGATCACATTTGAAAAGTGATGTTCATGATAGATTCCATATACTATCCATCAGACCTGACTTTAGTAGTTGGTGATAAAACCATTAACAACTAAATAAAATGCTGCCTTTAATCAATCAGCTAGAAATATTCCAGGATAAGTGACCCACTGGGAAGTTGCTCGTGAGCTCCCATAAACAAAACCGTGAGGGCAGAGAGGGGGGCCCAAAGCGGACAATATCGTGCTAAGGGAGTCGGGTCGTGACAATGTGTCAACCAATCAGCACATGTGTCTTTACGACAAATTGGACATGCAAACCTTCCTTTGGTAGACCATCCGGATAGGTTTCCATAAGCTGGAAAGTCATTTACTGTCCACATCAAAATAGCTTTTAGGTTGAACGTCTCCTTATTAAATGCATCATACACCTTCACCCCATTATTCCATAGATCTTTTAAATCATCTATAAGTGGTGCCAAATAAATGTCTATGTCATTACCTAGCTGTTTTGGACCTGGGATTAGTAAAGTCAACATCAAACTCTCCTTAGACATGCATAACCAAGGAGGCAAATTATATACAACCAAGACAATTGGCCAGCAACTATATCTAGAACTAAGATCTTGAAAAGGGTTAAAACCATCAGTACAAAGGCCAAATCTAATATTTCGAGGGTCTAATCCAAAAGAAGGCCACTTCTTGTTTATCCTATCCCATGCCAAGGAATCAACAGGATGTCTCATCTTACCATCTTGACTTTTATGTGTTGAGTGCCACCTTAACTGTTCAGTTGTCTCAGTTATTGCATACATCCTCCTCAATCGTGGTACTATTGGAAAGTAACACAATACTTTTGCAGGGACTCCCTTTTCAATTTTAGAATTGCGTTGATTCACTTTCCATCTCGAAGAACCACATTTAGGACATTCCTCTACCATCTCAAGATCATTTCTAAATAGACAACAATCATTCACGCATGCATGTATCTTCTCATATCCAAGTTCAAATGCCTTAAATATCTTTTTGGTTGTTTATAATGAACCAGGAAGTGTGTTATTTTCTAGTAGCATATCACCAAAAATTTGAAGCATTTCATCAAAAGAATTATCTGTAAGACTATGTGTTGCTTTATACTTCAACAAAGCAACAATTGCTGACATCTTTGTATACTTAGTACAAGCAGGAAACAAAGGAGTTTCAACTTCTCTAACAAAATTTTCAATTTCTGCCTCTTTACTTTCACAAGGTTACCCCTCAACTTCATCATTTTGGAAATAAAAGTCATGGTGCAACCTTTATGCCTCAGGCATTTCCACATCTTCATATTGAACATTATTACTTGGACTTTCACCATGAAAAACCCAAGTGGTGTACGCAGGATCCATGCCTTTTATGACCAAGTGTTCATACACTAAATTAAAGTGGTGATGTTGTAGGTTTCTGCATTCCAAACAAGGGCATACTATAATATCTAAGTTTACCACATGTCTTTGTGCTACATTGACAAACTAACGTGCTCCCTTTCTATATTCATATGAAAATCTATGATAAAGTTTTATTTAATAAAAAAGATAAAGTTAATAGTACTGAAAACCTAATACTCTTTCAAGTTATATATGGTCAACCTGTTAAATTGTAGCCATTCTTTATCCATCTGAGAAACAAATTACATCATATATCTGTTACTCCATTTATATGAAGAAGAAAAAAACTAAAATCAAATAAAGACATAAAAATAATAGTGATGAATTGAAATAGAAACCTTCACAAGAGTAGTAGTATTGGAGTTTATAGTTGGTGCCCACTTCCTAGTCTACAAGGACGGACCACGTATAGGCTAGCATGTGCTCTAGCATAGTGCTGAATTTTGAGATTAGGCTTATTGTGTAGGCTCAATCTAGACCAATCAAAGAAATCAGCCCGCCATGGACAAAAAATCAGATGGCTACAAGAAGAAAGAACAGAGAAATAGAGCAGACGGAGAGAGAAGAAAGAAAAGAAGAAGAGAGGAAGAAGGAAAAAGAACAAAGAAAGAGAGAGAGAGAGAGAAGAGGAAAAAGAATAAAAAAAAA